CCTGCTCCCCAGGGCGGGAAGGGAGCCCACCAAAAAATGATTTCTGAGGCAAGCTCTGGAAGTTTCTCCGGTCGAGGTCGTGCGCAGGCGCCCAACCCATGTGTGGTACTGCACAGATGACCACTCGAAGATCATCAGTTACAGGTAAGCAACCTTTCGGCAAAGCCACTCCCTCCTTACCTGCCAGCCGTTTAGAATGTGACCCACTTGTACCTTTTGGAAATACCCTTGCCACCTGGCAAGCTGGTGGGGGATTTGCCGTATGTGGCTGATTGGCTTTCATAATGTGGCACATTTGGAAGGTGTGGCCTCGTCTTCCACCCATGCAAGGCCCCTCCTTCTTTTAAGAACAGTGGCACTTCTTTCCGGATGGTTTCCTTGGGCAAGGCTGGTGGGCTCAGGGGCAGGAGAGAAGGAGCGCAGCTCAGCAGGGTGCAGCACACACTTCACTGCCCATTCCCAGCACCTCCACTGGAAGGATCCGAGGCCTGGTTTGCTCATGAATGAGGTGGCAGAGCATGCTTTCTCAGACTGCAAGTTGGGGGACTCATTTATTTAAGCCTTCCTTGCTCAAAACTCATACGGCAAGGAGTGGACTGGGCTCTTATGCGAATGGGTGTTCAAAAATCATTCCCCTCACCTTCGTTCAGAAGTAGCACAGTCTCCGTTACCACCTGCTGCAGGTGTAGAACAAAGCCAGAAGCTGGTAGACCTCAAGGGGAAACGAAAGCCCAGCCCCGCTATGGAGAAACCTGTTGTAGCACCAGGAGGCAGTTTGCCACGGCCTTCCTGCCCTTCTGGGCCTTTCTTCAGAAAGAAAAGGCAGAGGAATGGAGCTGCTTTCGTGCCTCCCAAGTAACAGAGCAAGGAAGGTGCCGTTAATGTTCCCTGCAGGCAGGTCCCACAGCCACTGAGCCAACATGTCTGGCAGTCCTGTCCCGGTCTCTCAATCTCATGTGCTGGATGTCTGGTCTGCTGTGAGCACAAATAGATCCTTCCTTCATCTCCGCAGAGCAGTGTTTGGCAGGGAGGAAGGCCCGGAGCTGTGGGGCCTCAGTCATGCGTTCCACTCTACCTCCACCCCCCAAATCAGTCTGATCCTGAACTAAATCAGCTTAAACTCTCAATGTTATGTGGGCCTAGTACAGGTTTTGGTAGGAAGTATCTTTTCCTTCTCATCCCAACCAAAAGACAGGCAACCCCCCACCCCCCCCCCAGCTTGGGGCTGATGGAATTCATTCGCAGGGGGCACCGGGGTGCCTGTGGAAGTGCAGTTCAGCTGCCCTTCCTCCGATTGTACAAAGACCACAGCGGTTGCTACAAAGCAGTCAGTGGCTTATTCTTGGGCTGGATCTGTGTCTCGATCTGTCGATTGCCATGGCTGTCGCTTCCCATGAGCGTGGTAGTGGTACAGACGTGTAGGCTGTGTGGTCATTTGGTGCCATTTCTGCTTCCATTCCCTTTGTCCCAAGAAGTCTTTGTGTCTTCCTTTTGGATGCTTAGAGGGCAACGACCAGACAGTTTGAGTTTGTCTCTGTTTTGCTCTGTCCCTGCCTCTCCCCCCAAGTCGTCTGTTGTGCTTCCAGACTTCCATTTGCTTTGCATTTCCAGCATAAGTAGAAGCCATTCCTGCCCTCTTGTGCACCTAAGCTAACATTTGCCAGTCATTGTTGCCTGGGGAAAGTGGAGCCCATCTTTGGACTCTCAGGACAGACCTTTTGCAATGTCTAGCTTCCAGGTAGCGCTAAAATCAGGGTGCTATGAAGTTCCTGGGCTCCCCCCCCAATCACAGCTTGACAACTATGCCTGCTCAGGAACCATCAGAGAATTAGCAGATTGTAATGCTTGGGGCCAGATCTCAAAGGAATGGCAGTACCGCCCAATCTGTCTGCCTTGGTCCTTCTAAGGGGTTGGGGCTTCTCTACATTGCTAGGGGACAAGTTTAGTTCCATGCCCCAGAAGGGAGCACTTTCCCCGCTAGAAGTTCCCAAGATGGTGGAAGATGACTTGGCATTGGCCTTGAAGCCTGTGGAACTAACTGGGCAGTAGTTGGCTCTTCTCTTGCAGATGGACACTGTAGTCAGTCTACCAACTTCTTAAATCAGCTTTCCTCAGTGGAGGGAGGTGTGATCCCACAGAGCCACCATGAAAAAAGGAGAGTTCCATTTTGCATTTCTGTGATTGCTGATCTAGCCTGGGAGAACCGTTTCTCATACTCCCAGCACCTGCAGCTGTCTGGCCAGGATGAACTTGTTGTGTCCATCCAAGTAGAAAATGAGCAAGCTTAGCCATCCTGTTGGCCCATAGAGTGAATGGCCAGAGTCTTGCCTTAAGGCTGTCTTGCTCTTTTGACAAGGCAGAACATTTGGATATCGGTATAAGTTGGCTCAAGTGATTAAGACGCTGAACTGCAGACCAGAATGTCTCTGGTCCCAGCTCCTGCCAACCTAGCAGTTCGAAAGCAAGAAATTGCAAGTAGATAAATAGGTACCACTTTGGTGGGAAGGTAGCAGCGTTCCGTGCGCCTCAGCGTCTAGTCATGCCGGCCACATGACCACGGAAACATCTTTGGACAGCGCAGGCTCTTCGGCTTGGAAACAGAGATGAGCACCGCATCCCTAGAGTTGGATTCGACTGGCATTCAAGCAAGGGAAACCTTTACCTTACTATAATTCATCTGCGGGTATAGACAGGCAAGCAGAGTCATCTAATGCTCCTGTTGGGGTACTGAGATAAGCAGTGTGTGCTCTGTGCAAGTATAGAGAGAACTCCAGCATTTGGGACTAGGCAATACAGTTCACCCCCATATTTCCCAACCAGCTGCTGAGTATCCACGGATATCTCAAGCCCTGGTGCAGGCGACCCACACGGGTATGGAGAGCAGGCACAAGCATGTCAGCCTCACCTGATCACGGAGTCATCTGTATGGTGCAGACATGCAGATGAAATGTCCGCAGATATGCCCCCCCTCCCCATGATAAGCAACGCTTGGAAAGTAGTGTCACTGATCATGGGAAGAGGCTTTATGTTCAGGCACTTCCTTCACACGTTCCCACTGGGGTGACGGCTCAGTGGAGACGGGGCTAGTGCTCTCGTTCCTGGTCTCCCTCCCTGCGTGGTGAGTCGGTACACGGATGGGTCATCTCCCGAGGTCTTCAGGGTGTGTTTCTCTCACACACACTTTTCAGCCTTCTGCTCTGTGGCTTCTTTGCCACCCCTGAAGTAGCTTGGGGTGTTGATGTGCAGGCATGGGAATTTGTGCCGAATTGTGCCTCATGTACTTGCACGCGCCTTTATGTTGACAACTGTGACTTGCATGTCACTCAAACTGGGAGATGCATGAGCTCCCAAATGTACATCCATCTCTCTCTCTCTTCGCAATACCAAAAGTGCAGCATGCTTGAACCGTGTTTTGTTGAAGACACAGATGGTTACAGTTTCCTCCTCCGTACAGGAGCAGTGAACTGGGTAGGACAATTAAAGACTGTTGTTCACCTAGGGTTGCAGAATGCTCAGGGGGATTGTGTCTTAATGGTGGCGATTCTGCTGAGAGGTGCCTGTGAAATCTTAGAACAGTAGGTCTCCTTGGAGCAAGTCAACAGGGGGGTTTCCTGGCATCCTCTTCCTCCTCAGGCAGGTAGAGGGTTGCTCCCTGTGGTTTGCTGCCCACTTAAGGGAATAAGGGATTGTTGGAAGGCATTTGAAATGATGGCAGAAATCTAGTGGCAAATCTGACAGAGCATGCAGCAGAGCACACTGGAAAACCTGGGCATGGCAACCACAATGTGAAGAAGCCATACTTCTCCACTTATAGCGTTTTGTCAGCTGACTGGCATTCACAACAGTTAATTAGGGTAATTCGACATCTGGTGACTCTGACAGTCTGAATCCCAGAATGGTAGTAATTTGTTAGCAGTAATGATTTTGCACAGTTCTTTGGTAATGAATCATGCGGCAGAAGTGTCCAAAACACCCTTTGGTCCTTTTTTTGATAGTTTTGGTTTGGCATCTTTGGCTGATATTGACAAGAGATCCTGGGTTGTGCAAAGGCTGCTCACGTATCTTGGATCTATCAGAGGAGGACTTCCCAAAGCATCAGAGGCCCTTTGTTGAAAAGCCCTCTGTTAATCAAGAGGTTATGGCTGAATGTAGGCCAGTTTGTAACTTTTTTTTAGAAGCGATTGAACAGAGGGTGGCAGAAGTTTTTTTAGATAACCCATCAGCCCTTTTCAGTCTGGCTTCATGCCTGATTAGGGGGGCAGAGACAGCCTTGGATGATCCGGGGGACTGTCTCTGTTTTGCAGATTGATAAAGGGGACGCTTCCCTTTCGGTCTTCCTGGATCTCTTTAACTGCTTGTTGATACAACTGACCATTCACTGTTCCTTTGGAAACTAAAAATACAGATAAGTGAGATGGCACTAAAAGAATTCAAGTCTCCCCCACCTCCCCACTTAGTGCTGGCAGCACATCTCCCATCATCAGATCTGTAGCAAGCCTGGTCTCGTCAGCTGTCAGAAGCTAGGCAGGGCCGACCCTGGCAAGTGTTTGGATGGGAGACCTCCAAAGAATACCAGGGCCAGGAGTCAGAGGCAGGCTATCAAGCCACTTCTTTGAACACCCACCATGCCCCAGTAGGAGTCACAAGAGGTCACCGTGACCAGGCATCCACACAAGTCACACACAAAATACTCAAACCCCCCCCTCAAAAAAAAGATGTGTAGCTGAGTCAGAGGTTGGAGGAGAGGGCTTTCCACCAAACTGCCTGCAGAGGACCCTCATCTGGGCATTGCCCACCAAATGCTCCAGGCCCTTCCCTCTCAGTTCTTGCTGCTTTCTGCCTGCCTTTTATGGAGCCTTCCCAGCATATTACTTGCCCGTTTGCTAGGGCAAGCTTTGAGGGCTGTAGACTGACTGTAGTCCTCTAGAAGCATTCCCTGCCCTCCAAAAAGTTACAGCGTTCTCGTTGCCTCCTCTAACCCATGGTTTTGTCTACCCCAGAAATCCAGGCGATGGAAGAGCAAGCGAGAGGGCACAGATGCCAGCAACCGGCCCATCAAAGCTGCTGGGAAGGTGATCATTCAGGACATCTCTTGCCTGCTCCCTGTCCACAAGTCGCTTGGGGAGATGTATATGTAAGTACACAGGCCCCTGTGAGCATCGCCTTGCTTGGGCACAGTTGAGACAACCATTGCAATGGCTGAAAGGGGTATCCAGCAGCATCGTTCTTGGAAACTGAGGATCCTGCCCTTGCTCTCAGATATCTGTCCTGTGCTCGGTGATCATGGTTCATCCTGACATGACAGGGAGGTGACACCTGAGGCCAGTTTCCAGAATGCAACTATATGTTGAAGATCCTTCCGTGATGAGAATTGCAGATGGGGAGCCATGTTTGTAGCAGCAAAACAGAACAGGAGGTCCAGGGGCAACCTAAAGACTTTAAAATATCTTAGTGTCTTCTCAAGGTCTTCTGAAGACTTCAGGGTGCCACCTTTATTCAACTAGCATGGCTCCCCATAGAGAATTGTCATCTTGGAAGTCATTGTGGTGAGCTGTGTCAAGCGGGGCTCCATGAGTAGTCTCCAGTACATCTGACAAAGAGAGCTCTGACTGACAAAACCTTGTGGTGAAACAAATTTTGCTGGTCTTCACAGTACCCCACTCCACCCTTCCTTTTATGGTGTCAGTTTTGTTCCAGAGGTGGCATGTTGGCGGGGGGGGGGGCATTTCCCCTCCTTCCAAATTAAGAACTACAAGTGGAAGTGGAACAGGCAGCATAGTCCACATCTTCCAGCCACACTTTCTGTCCCTCTAGGTAAAGGAGAAGGCAGCTAGGTGCCACATTCTCCATCAGTGGAAGGTGTCCTTGCATGGGTTGTGCCTCTTCCTTGCTCTGTGGTCAGGGCATGTGCACATTTCTTGCAAAGTCTTCCACTCCCCTAAGGTGGCACTCCACCCACCCAGCTTTCCATGCCCTGCCCGCTTCGTGGATGGACAAGCTTCCAAAATGCTTTCACCTGTAGAGGGGCTGACAGGACAGAATACTGAAACATCTGAAGAAATCTGCATTTGCTCCCCACCCCGTCACTCACCAGCAGCAAAGGCTGGGTGACAAAGAAGAAGCTGCTTCGGTCAGAATGCCCTAATGCAGCCACAACAGCACAGCATGGTGGCCTCGTCCTTTGCAGTTCCGCAGCAAGACTCTGTGGCTGCTACCCGTGCCTGTCCTTCAGCTACCGCTCTCCTCTCCCCTGCTGAAGCACTGGCAGGGACAGAGAGTGAACGGCAGGTCCTCTCCTCCTCCAAAACATGGGCGGAGAATGGGCCCCTCAGCAGAAATGTCCTCAGCGCACTCTAGACAATGACTCTGACTCCATCGTCTTCACAAAGCCAGGAGTCTCCAGCAAGGACCACCACCAAAAGGGCATTTCCCCTCGACCTCAACTGTGGGAAGGGAGCCCCAGAACAGATAAGAGGGCAACAGTGGACTGCATTTGCCATTGGAGTTCCATCCCCGCTGGATCTTCCCTCTACCCAGACCTCTGTGTATATGCTGCTTAAAGTCATAAAAGACATTAAACATCATCTGAGAGAAAAAAGGGTATGAAGAAAGGAGACACCGTAGAAAGAGGCATAGCTTTTATAGGCAAACTGTGAAGTTGTACCTTAACAAGCAAGAGAGCACAGGTTCCCTCCCCCTTTGTTTGGAAGCATGTCACATGGGAGTGGGCAGTTCCCAGAATGGTCTCTCTCTGTGCTATTCATATTGCAGGGCAAGCCAACATTACCGTGGATACCCTCAGCAGATCTGGTTTGGTTAACCATGAATGGACCTTGGCAGACAAATACCTCTTCAACCTATTTTCCATCTCTGAGGGGTCCCAAAGGTGGACTTCTTTGCCTGCGAACACCATGCCAGAGACGACCATTTTTGCTCACAGGCTGCTTCAGTCTATGGGGGATGTGTTCCAGTTCATTTGACAGGGTTCCCTTTTTAGTGCATTTCCTCCCATACCCATTCTACCCAGGGTTTAGCCAAGCTCAGAACAGACAGATCTGCCTGTGTACTGAGAGCTCATTTTTGGCCACGCCAGCTGTGGTTCACAGCCCTGTGGGAGCTGTCTAGGGGCTCCTCTCCCAGGGGCTCAGGGCCTCCTGGAGTGGGGCACAGTGTGCTTCCATGATGTCAAGTCCCTTTGGGCACAGGGACGGGGTAGTGTCTGCCATCAAGCATGCATATATCAGATCTGGGACTCCTTGCCCCTTCCTAGTGAAGGCGAACTCCATCAAGGCACAAGCGTTATCTGTGACGATTCTGGTCAAAGCCATCCACATTCATTAAGCACTGTTCAATAAATGTTGATTCCAGTAGTGAGTTGCATGTTGATTGGTCTTCATGATTTGATACACATGCTTAGAAGATTATTACAAGGTTGATAAACATTAAAAAACAGGTTGAAAAAATATTAAATTTTAACATTTGCAAAAGGATAATGTAACATTTGTAAATAAAAATATATGCATATTGAACAGTTACTGAACTTACAAAAATAAAAGGTATTTCTTTGCAGTAACAAAAAGTTATCTATTCAGTTACATTGGATTTTAATCACTCGCTGTGTAAAGTAGTATTTCCTTTTTTCCTTCCTGAACCTACTGCCCATCAGCTTCATTGGATCCAGTATTTTGGGAGAGGGAGAAAAAATTCTCTTTGTCAGCTCTTTCTATCCCATCCATAATTTTATAAACTTCTATCATGTCCTCCCTTAGTCATCTCTTTTCTAAACTGAAAACTCCCAGGCTCTTCAGCCTTTCCTCATAGGGAAGGTGCTTCAGCCCCCTAATCATCTTGGTTGCCCTCTACGTTTATGAAGCACTGTAAGATAGACATGTCTCCCTCTTCTGAGGCAGCGTTTGGCCGATAAGGCCTCCAAAAGGTAGTTCCTCAGTGATTCTTCTCAGGTTAATGGAACTTTTCAATATTGCGTGCAAGGATGCCTTCCTCCAGTGATGGAGAACAAAAGGACTTCAACTTGAGGGATTCTTCTCATCAGTGGATCAGTTGTCAGAGGAGAAGCTGGAGAAGAACCACCCACTTTGATGAAGAGACTGTAGGGGATTGTTCTTTTTCAGTACTTCAGACTTGGTCATCTCCAGTTACAGGTCTTCAAAGTAAAGTCCAAGTGTACTCTGAGATGGCTATGCCGGGGTGGATCCATCTCCTATAAGCTTGGCAAGACATGAACCGGGGTGTGCGGAGTGCCTCATCAAGACAGGAGAAGCCTTTCCAAGAAATTTGCATGTGCTCTGCCCTCAGAGCAAGGAAGAGGCACAATCCACACAAGGATACATTCCAATCCACTGTTTAGAAGAAACCCTCATGGTAAATCCAATGTTCATTTGCCCTCTTGTTTATTCATCCTACTATTACGCTTCCAAGCTATGAAGCATGGCAAGGTACTCTGGTGTCTAGCCACTATCCTTTCTCCTGTGTTTCTCCCATATTCTGCCATTTGCTAGTTATGGTTAGAGGATGCATTCTCCCTGTCTTCTAACTTAAATGTGAAGGACAGAGAGAGCCAACTGGGATCACTGTTGCTTGGCAGTATAGCCAACTGAGCATCTAATTATCTGCTCTGCAGTCGCTTGCCTCCCCTTCCATTAAAGGGACAGCTGCAAAGTGCCCGGCAGGGAATTCAGCAGTAGCCTTTTAACCCAGAGGGAAAAATCAGTGATGGGGCAGCTTTTGTCACTCCCAAAAGGAAAAGCACTATGTGTTCTGGAGTGCACTTCTTTTTTACTTATAAAAGACACACCTCGAGGAGGGGGAGGGAAAGAAGAGGGATGGAGCAGGTGAGTAGAATCCAGGTAAGTGAAACAGAATCCAGGTAAGTGGAACAGTAGGCTAGGTGATCATCCTGTGCCATCTTAACTGTGGTGTTCATTTCCTGTGTTTGACTACACATGCTGGAAATGTACAGGATGTTGCATTTTAGTCACATGAATCTCAGTAGGGATGGGCACGAACTGAAAGAATGAAGGTTCATGGAGGTTCATGCTTTGGGGGGTTTTCACAAACCACGAACTTCCACGAACTTCTCCATTGCACGAACCAGTTCATGCTTTCGAAGTTCATGGGGCTCCCCACCTGGAAGTGTCCTCGGTGCCCACCATGGCCAACCTGACCAAAGGCCTTTAAAGGTCTTCGGAGCTCACCCTTCGAGCTCAGTCAAGTCAAGCCACTTGACTCGAGTGAGCTCTACATGTATTTATAGGCCTTTGGAGCCCACTTCTGGGCAGGGCTTGCCCATATAAGGACTTGCCCATATAAGGGCATCTAAAGACTATAAAAGCCTTCAGAGCTCACTCTGGAAGCTCAGTCAAGCCAGCCCGACCCAGCTCACTCAGGTTGGGCTGCAGGCTGGCGGCAGGCTCTGACAGCATTTAAATGCTTTTGGAGCTCACTTCCGAACCCACCAATGAACCATGTTTTCATGGAGGTTTGGGGGCGGGTTCATGGGACAAACCATTCTCCCAAACCCCTGGTTCATGCTGAACTGGGGTTCATTAATTGGTTTGTGCCCATCCCTGCTTCTCAGTCTTCATTTTTAGGTTGATTAGTAGTTCTGTGATCTATGGTTTTAATATGTGCAGTCTCTGAAGATAAGGCTTAATTTAGCATATGAAATGTCCTGTGTTTGCAGGAGCGGTTGTTTTCCCTCCTTGAAGGTCTTTTAATGTCTCTCTGTGTACCAACAGCCATATTTTGCTTAATGTGTCTTTTTACCTATATGTCATAAGATCTTCTGATCCAGGGGTGGCCAAACTGCAGCTCGGGAGCCACATGCAGCTTTTTCACACAGTCTAATTTAATGTTAATAAAAAGCAATTGTGCATATTTTTCAATAAAAACATGTCTGTGACATTTGTTCATGGCTTGCGGTTCTCAAACATCTGACGTTTATTCTGTGTGGCTGTTACATTAAGCAAGTTTGGCCACCCCTGCTCTGATCCAAGTGTCCTTCAAAATGAGGACAGGAAATGTCATATGCTGTACGTTCTGAATGTGCTTATAACCAAGGGGATTGTTGAAGGGTTGTTGAGCCCTCGGATTTGAAACCAGGTTCGGCTACTGTAAGGTTATCTTCACTTAACCTAAGCCCTGCCGAAGGTGCCCTTTTTGTTTGCTTTGCTGAGGACAAGGATGTGGTCCTTCGAGTGTCACTTAGAAATTGTCTTAGAAATGTGCAAACCCCTAGCCTGCCAATGATTGGGTGTCCCTGGAAGTGGCTTTCCATACCTCCTGCCCGATACTTTTAACTGGAGATGCTGGGGATTGAACCTGGGACTTCCTGCATGCAAATGAGGTGTCCTGTTGGAGTCACAGCCTCTTCCCTTAAAGATGTAGTAAGCAACAAAATGGATCATGGAGGAGGGGGAGTGTGAGGTCAGAACTTCACAACTCAAATGACGCGTGAGTCTTGGCAGGATGGCATCTCTGTGCGGGATTCTCTGCTTCCCTTTCCTGTGGTATCATGTGCCCACGTCATAACATGTGTTTCCCTGTCTCTCTGTCTCCCTACAAGCTGCCTCTTGGCAGTGTCGGTAGGTCTCAGCATGGGGGAAGTGGTATTCCACATTACACAGACAGGAAGAACTCGATGCAAGGGGTGCCATTTTCAGTAGTGGGTGTATGTGTCCCCTAGCCTATAATTCATCTTCTATGGGGAGACGAATGGGAAATTATGTTTTCCTTTTTTTTTCTTTGTGTGTGTGTGTGAGCAGAGAGGGATCTAGCCCTTCCTCCTTCTATAGAGCAACTGCTTTCCTTTCCTTTCCTTTCAGACTGAATGTGGCCGACATTCAGGAGACATGCCAGAAGAACGCTGCCTCAGCTGTGACAGTGGGGCGCAGGGATCTTTTGCAGGTACAGTTCCAGGGAGGGACTGGATGGGCAAGTCGCGGAAGTCTTGCCACAGCTGCTGTTTATTATGGATTGCTATTGAAGTGGTGAAGCCTCTAACACTGATTGGCTGTGTTGATGGGCTTGCTCAGAATGTTCAACTGCTCAGGGAACACCACAATTTGCCATCAGCTTTTGTGAGGAAAGGGAAGATCATCTGTTTGGATGGGTGTGAAACCTTGGGTAGCTGAAAGATGAGAAGAGGTCCTGGAACACAGTAACATGAAGGAGCAAGGAAACTGCATCATTGGCAGTGGGCTGGGTAAGAGGAACCTGAAGGAAGGGTATGTGGAGGGAAGCGGCTTGAGGGAAAAGAGCAGATGGAAGGAGGGAACTGAAGCAAACATAGACATGTGAAGGCCTTGGAAAATTGGGTTTTTTTCCCTCCCATGAGGCTGTTTTGTAAAAAAAAATCTGTTGAAAAAATTCAACAACCATTTAAAGAAACATTTTCTGTTCAGAATAAGTTAATATATTTTAAGGCAGTATTTTAATTTTTTTTCTATTATCCTCAAAATGCTTTCCAGTGTCCATGTAACAACTGTGTAATGCCATCTACTGTATTGGGTAATTATCTTTCCTGTATACTGTATGTTTAGCAGTACATTTTTATCCTGTATTTCCTCCAAGGAGCTTAGGGTGACAAATGAAGCTCTTTTCTGTAGTTTGTCCTCACCTATGTGGTAGGTCAGGCTGAGAATGCGTGTCTGGACCAAGGTCAACCAGCGAGTTTCATGGCAATGGGAGGATTCGAGCCTGGGTTTCCCAGAGTCTTAGTCTGATGCCCAAACCACCACTGACCCCTAGCCTAAAAACATGCACCACTGTCAGATTTTATTGCTCGCTTTTAGATTCCTCCGTTTTTTGCAGCTTATGAAAGAAACTGCGCAATATTTATACATATATGGCTTCAGAACACTCATATTATGCAGGATTGCCACTGAAAACGGCATCCCTGCATTGAGTTCTTACCATACACATCGTCTGATGGTGATGCGGTCACATTGCACATTGTCCGTCTGTGCCTATGATGGCGGGCAGGGAAATGATCAGTGCAAGGACACATGGGGATGCTGTTTTGGGGGGCAGGTCTGTGTCACGTGTAAATGTTTTTAGTTCTGCCTTCATTGCTTACCTTCCCACAATGCTTTGCTCACTGCTTTTGCTCACTGATTGCTCTGTCCCGGCTTGCTTGCCAGGTTCCGTTTGATATGGACCACAGCCAGGACAGTGCATAGTGAGGCCTTTCCCCCCACCTAATTCACAAATGGGATCATGGCTGTCGGGCCTGCTCTGCTTTTGCCACAGCAAGAGGTGACCAGCTTGGGGTGGCCATGGGGATGCTGTTTTGGGGGGCAGGTCTGTGTCACGTGTAAATGTTTTTAGTTCTGCCTTCATTGCTTACCTTCCCACAATGCTTTGCTCACTGCTTTTGCTCACTGATTGCTCTGTCCCGGCTTGCTTGCCAGGTTCCGTTTGATATGGACCACAGCCAGGACAGTGCATAGTGAGGCCTTTCCCCCCACCTAATTCACAAATGGGATCATGGCTGTCGGGCCTGCTCTGCTTTTGCCACAGCAAGAGGTGACCAGCTTGGGGTGGCCTTCTGTGACCCCAGTGATGTGTCAGTGTGACGAACTAAAGGTTTGTTGATCAGCAGCAGGTAAACGAGAGCTGCTGGGTCACATGACTGAGAGTGGTGGGGGCAGGTTACTCGGAATTCTCAGGGAGTGACAGTTAAGAGTTGACAGTTAAGGGTGTTAGCTGGTGAGCTCTTGGAAAAAAGGAGCTCCTGGAGCGGAGTGTAATAGCACGCCAGATTGCTTACCTTCCCACAATGCCTTGCTCACTGCTTTTGCTCACTGATTGTACTGTCCTGGCTGTATAATGCTCCTAACTGGTCCCCTCTAATGAGAGATAGTAACTCCTCAATAGTCACAAAGTAACACACACACTCCTCCAAGGGAACTTGTGAGGTGGTAAAAGGAAGGAGTAGGGGTCTGGAAGAGACTGTGGAAAAGCTGGAATAGTCTTACCAGTCAGTCTCAAGGAGCCATATGGAGAAAGTCCAAGGTCTAACCACAGTCAGTTACCGGAGAGTGAAATCACAAACGGTATCAAGGGACCAGAGTCAGTCTGTGACAAACTTAGAGTTATAACACTACAGCCTATGTTAATGCAGAGTGAAGCATTCATACCAAACAGCAACAATATATTCTGTGCAAATACCCCCCCCCCCCGGGCTGAGTTTCTGTGAATAAAGAATTGCACTGTTTGCCTTTCAAAAGCACTGGTGCCTGACTTATTGATAGGGATTCATACCTGGCAGACATCCTCAATCCACAAGACATACAATCCCCAAAGAGACTTTTTTTAGAGTAAACTGGTCATCCCTCAGAAAGACGAGGTGATCAGTCAGAACAGAGTGAGAATCTGAATCCAGTAGTATAAACTGAGGCCCCACTCGGTCTGGATCGTTGCAGTTAGCGTCTGCCATACCTTCTTTTTTTCTCTTCAGGTCTGGTCACTGGCCACAGTCGCAACTGACCTCTGTCTGGGCCCAAACTCCGACCCAGATTTGGAGACCCCCTGGGCCCAGCACCCGTTTGGCCGCCAGCTCCTGGAATCTCTGTAAGTACCTAGACCCTGAGGTAGATCTTTCTTCTTCTTTTTGGATATTTATACCCTGCTTTTCTGTCCAATGGGGACCTGAAGTGGCTGGTGACGTCATTCCCCATTTTATATTCCCAACAACCCGCCTTCTCCGGTAGGCTAAGCTGAGAGAAAGAGCGACTAACCCAAGGTCACCCAGCAAGCTTCCGTGGCAGGGCAGTGGTTCAAGCCTGGGCCTTCCAGATCCTGGTCCGGGGCACTAACCACTAGACCCCGCCTTGCCCAGGCGAATGCTTTCCCAGACACCCACCAAGTCTTCTCTTCCTCTCTCCCAGGGTGGCTCACTATTGCCAGCTCCACGACGTGCAGACCCTGGCCATGCTGTGCAGCGTCTTCGAGGCTCAGTCCCGGCTCCAGGGAGCCCCAGTTTCTTCTGGACTCTTCCCTCCACGTTCCTCCAGCCACAGCCGATATGTACGGGTACATTTTTGGTATCTACTGCTCACACACACACACACATGCCAAAAAGGCCTGATCCAGGTTTCACCTCCTCCTCCTCTTTCTCCCACAACAGCCCAGCTTTACCTCGTCAGGCTCCTGTTCCAGTATGTCAGACCCTGGACTCAGCACTAGCAGCTGGAACTTAGGTAGGCTTGTGCAGTTAACTTGTAAAGACCTAGAAGGAGGAGGTGTCAGCCTCTTGCAGCCTCCTCTTACCACACAAACACACCCATCCAGATGATCTTCCTGGAGGTTTGCACATGCACAGATACTCAGATCCACATCTTTGTGTGTAGATTTTGAGATACATTTGTACACAATATATTTTTTCATTGTCTTGACTGGAATATTAGAGTATCGGCAAAATGATTTTTTAAAAACTATGTAGAAAGGGAGATGCTTGTTACTAAATTGGGCTGTGTTCTTTTTACAAAATATGTGGCAGGGTATGAGCTTTTGTGAGTCACTGCTCACGTAACTGAAGAAGTGAGCAGTGACTCACAAAAGCTCATACCCTGCCACATATTTTGTTAGTCTTTAAGGTGCTACTGGACTCTTGCTGTGTTCTTTTTACTTTGTGTAGTTAAAAGCTAAGGAACTCCTGCAAGGGTCTGTTTGCAGGACAATAGGTCAGGGCTATTAAACATGTGCCATCAAGTCGCAACTGACTCATGGTGACCCCAGGGCCATGGTGTTTTCAAGGCAAGAGACGAGCAGAGGTGGCTTGCCATTGCTTTCCTCTGCATAGCAACCCGAGTCTTTCTTGGGTGGTCTCCCATCCAAGGACTGACCGTTGCCAATCCTGCTTAGCTTCCAAGGTCTGATGTGATTGGGCTAGGCTGCAGCATCAGGCCGCTGGGTCAGGGAGGCAACGCTTTTAGCCCAAGTGCATTAAAAATGCAACATGTACTTCTGAAGATGTTGCCGTGCTGCAGAAAAATTGGCCAGGGGATGTGAGAATTGTACCTGAAGATATGTTCAGAGCAAACCAAGTCTCAGCAACGCTGGCAACATCTCATGGATTCGCCCGATGCAGGTCTTAGGCAACAATGATTGGCATAAAACATGCCCGGTGCCTTCTCTTGTGTCGCCATCCCTGGCCTTGATGCCAGCGCCTCAGCTGCTTGAGCAGAAATCTGGCCCTAGGTGCCAAGCAAAATAGTGCTGCTGTCAGCACATGTATCGAGTTGTGTATTCCTGAGCACAGGCCCATCCTATCTAACAAAGAGGAATTGGAGCAGCTCTAACAGGCCTTGATAGCTCCACTGGTGATGACCTGGAATGAGGGAAGTAGTTAGTTTCTACTGGAACTGCAGAGAGGGGAGAGAGTCACACTCGGCACACTCTTTTCTCTGAAGGAGCCCCATCTCCATCCCTGTGGTGGGTCTCACAAGCTCATGGATTTCCTTCCCTGAGTTCCTTCTTAAAAGGGGTCAGACTAGGGCAAGATGAAGATGCTCTCTCAGCCTTCTGTTTCCCGTCAGGTACTCTGAGGGAATGGAAGGCAGGGAACAGGGTCACCGTTACTCCAGTCTATTCTGAGTGGATTGCTCTACTGTCCCTGCCCAATGGCCTGTCAAAGAGGCCGCATTCTATTCCCCTGTATTTCCAAGGGTGGAAACATTGGGGCTCCTCAAGCCCAGCAGTCTTTTGTCAGGGGGGAAGTTTTTACCCAGTAGCTACTGTGGTCCAAAACAAGGAACAGCAGCCAGAAGATCTGTAGCAGGAATATCTTGAAGACTGGGGCGGAGAGACATCTGCCTACCAGCTTTTGTATGTGGGTATATAGCTAATTGGTGTTAGTTTTACATGTTTTGTAGGATTGTATTATGGTGGAAAGGTGGGGATAAAAATATCTTGTATATAAGTATTTCTGTTAGTAACTGACCTGCCAACACAGGAGCATGTCTTGCCAGCCACAATGGTCTGGATGACATCAGTTTAAGATGCTCGGAGGCACCGTTTGCTCTGAGGTTCAGTCTTTTGAATTCTGCAGCTGGCAAAGAGGTGGAGCACACGGCAGGCTGGTGTGAGTCTTCACCTGATGACTTCCGCTTTGGCAACTTGGCATATGCTGACCACCGGGACCGCGAGAAGGATCAGCACGACAGGAACAAAAGGTGACGCTGGGCCCCAGAGTCTCGGTTGGGTGCGAGGCTGAGTTGCTGTTATGGAGAATCTCATCCCCAATGTTTTGTGACCTCCCTGGAGAGCTTTGGGCTGTCTACCTCCTCTGCTCCCACTCAAAGAATTGATGCACTTCTTCCAATAATAGGGTGTGCATTTGTGTTGCATGTCCCCATCCTCAGAACATGGCATACAGTTGGACCACCATTTCTTTCCGTGGAGCTGGAACCGTTGTCTGCTTTCTCGAGAGATGCACTTTTTAATCATTCTTACATTTTTTCCTGTTTTGTTTTCCCTCTTGTGGTGGGTTGGGGTGACAGGAGTGGGCACTAAAATCCTTTTGAGGGGTTTACTACCCCCCCCAGCCCAGAGCACCTGTTCTTGCGATGGTAGTGTGTATGTTGATTCTTGTATTAACTGAGGACTACTGCCCACACTACAGTTTCCCATCACACTACCAAGCACAGCTGTGAAAGAGGCCAAATAAATATTTATTTGCTGTGCTGCCAGTGCTTGGCACTGTTTAACCGCCCCTGAGGTAAGTCGCGATGGTGTTCCAGGTGATTCCCGGAAGTACGGCTGATCTCAGTACAGCGGTCAGTTCTCCTGTAGAAAGTGGCTGCTTTAGAGGTTGGGTTTTATGACACCATACAGAGGTCCCTCCTGTCCCCAAACCCCACCTTCCCCAGGGTCCCCAGATCTCCAACACAGAGTTGGTAACCGCAGGCAGATCGTTGTGCAACAAAGTTATCATCTTCATTAGGCAGAGAAGCCAAAGCAAAAAAGTGAGAGATTAGTGCCCCAAGGACCTCGCTGTCTGCATTTCCATTTTGGGGAGATGGCCAAGGGGGAAGGAAGAACAGAAAGGGGCCGAGAACACAAAGGGAATAGAGATGAGCCAATCCAGTCATTTGTGCCTGAGGTGTCCTTTCAGTTGGGCTTGAGCAGGGCCATAGCCAGGATTTTTTGACTTTGGGGAGACTCCTCACTAATGATGGAGGCCCAGGTGGCAGACTGCCAAGTCGGCCTTTTACCACCTGCGGCTGGCTCGGCAGTTGGTCCCCTACCTTCACCGTGAGGACCTGGCAACTGTGATCCATGTGACAGTCACCTCAAGGTTAGACTACTGTAATGCTCTCTACTTGGGGCTGCCTTTGTCGCAAATCCGGAAGGTGCAGCTAGTGCAGAATGCTGCAGCCAGGCTGTTGATGGGCCTCTCTAGGCGAGACCACATCCGGCCTGTGCTACAAGCGCTGCACTGGCTGCCGATAGCATACCGGATTCGCTTCAAAGTGCTGGTCCTTACGTTTAAAGCCCTGAATGGCCGGGGTCCGGCTTACCTAAGGGACCGCCTCTCCCCTTAAGAGCACTACGATCGGGGAGTCTCCACCTCTTGGAAGTTCCAGGCCCCTGAGACGTTAGGTTTGCCCCTACTAGGGCAAGGGCGTTTTCGGTGGCAGCTCCTACCTGGTGGAATAAGCTCCCAGGGGAGATCTGGGCCCTGCGGGACCTTGTGCAGTTCCGCAGTGCCTGCAAGATGGAGCTCTTCTGCCAGGCTTTTGAGTAGGAGCTGCCGCCGCCACTATTCCACCACCATGGTACTGTTCCACCATCTACCTCTACTTTGGGGGGTATGCGTCGCCTGGTGGAAGTGGGTAGAACATTATCATTGGAGTCCTTGCTACTTAATAAAGCTGGCCGTCGAATTGGGATTACTGTTTATCTTGGGGATCTATATATAGGATAACATCAGAGCACCTTAAATATGGGATTTGATTGTGGATGTTTAACACTGTTTTATTGTATTTTATCTATTTTATCTATTTAACCCGGCACTAGCCGTATGTTAGCCGCCCTGAGTCGTTTGGAATGGCGGGATATAAATCCAAAATTAAAAAATAAATAAAATAAGTCGGGAGCACTGCATCCAGAGCAATGAAAAAAGTTTTTAAAAGCTATGAGCGAGAGGGGGCTGGAGTAGGGAGCAGATGTGCCCTGTGGCATGCCTCTCCCACAGCCAGCCAGAGGTACACTGCCGGCAGGCAGGGCTGAGAAGTGACTCGGCTCAGCATGGCCATGGCACACAAGAAAAATAAAACAAATCAGCTGGATGGGAAGTCAGGAGGCCAGGGTGATACGTCAGGGGGCCCGGCCCGAAGATGCCCCACCGTAGCTACAGGCCTGGGCTTGAGGCTTGATGGGCTGTCTCCCCAGGCTCCTGGACCCCGCCAACACCCAGCAGTTCGATGACTTCAAGAAGTGCTACGGGGAGATCCTCTATCGCTGGGGCCTGCGAGAGAAACGGGCTGAAGTCCTCAAGTTTGTCTCTTGTCCCCCCGAGCCTCACAAAGGGATTGGTGAGTGAAAGCCTACAGAGCTGGGATCCTGCTGTGGCCATACAATTTAAAGTGAAATTTGATATACCGAAGGTAGCAGAGTTCTGCGTCAGTCCCATTACAAAAGCAGCAGTAGCCTCCCGTCTCTCTCTTCAGCCCAGCCAAAGTAGCATAGCTGGCTGGCTGGCTTTTGAACTGGCACACCCTTTTGTGATACTTCAGTTCTGCTGAAAAAGGTGTTGAATGAATGTACTTTATAAGGGGGAGAGAAGGAGAAGTCCCTTTTGATATAATCAGAGGGACAGAAGGGGAAAATGTGTGCAAATGCAGCTGCATGTTCTTAAGGCTGGGCAGAAGAGAGCCACTGGAAGGGTTCTGGGAGGCAGCTTGCAGGCAGAGAGAGGAAGAGGTGCAGGAACACCTTCAGGCAGCAGAGGATGGTGCAGAGGGAGGGAGGGATATATTGAGATTACAAGTGTTGTGGGAGGGGCTCCTCTGCTGCCTCAGTTTAACATAAGAACATAAGAGACACCAATGTTGGATCAGGCCAAAGGCCCATCCAGTCCAACACTCTGTCACACAGTGGCCAAAAATACCAGGTGCCATCAGGAGGTCCACCAGTGGGGCCAGGACATTAGAAGCCCTCCCACTGTTGACCCCCCCCCAAGCACCAAGAAGACAGAGCATCACTTGCCCCAGAGTCCCTATCTATACCTTGAGGCTAATAGCCACTGATGGACCTCTGCTCAGAGTTCTTATATTGTGAGAAAGGGAGAAAAGTGCCTGTTTCCCTACCTGCTCTATCCCATGCATAGTCTTATAAACCTCAATCGTGTCACCCCTCAGTCGTCGTTTCTCCAAGCTAAAGAGCCCTAAAGCGCCTTAACCTTTCCTCTTGGGAAAGTGTTCCAACCTTTTATCATTCGAGTTGCCCTTTTCTGCACTTTTTCCAAAGCTATAATATCCTTTTTAAGGTGTGGTGACCAGAATTGCACACAGTATTCCAAATGAGGTTGCACCATTGATTTATATAGGGGCATTATGATATTGACTGATCTGTTTTCAATACCCTTCCTAATAATCCCCAGCATAGCATTGGCCTTTTTTAATTGCAGTCACACACTGTCTCGACATTTATCATAGCAGCAAGGGAAAGGGCATAGTTTTGGGCACCTAGACGAGAGCGTCTCATGCTTCCCATTAGATACACTGGTGTTCAACTGGTATACTGGTGTCCTAGAAGGCCAGGAAGGTCTCTGGAGGAGGGACAGTCTTGGAGAGACTCTGAAAGCAACAAGGCATTTCCCTGCTTTCCAAAATGTGTTGCAATGTGTGTGAGAGCCACCACCCTTTTCTATGATCTTGACGGGTGGGGAGGGTACTCCCCAGGATTATTATTATTATTTTTTTAAATGCATTCTCCATTGGCAAACACATGTGTGGGCCCCGTGATGAAGCACAATAGATGTCTATAACTAAACAGAGAATAGCAGCAACAACAAACTCACACAGACGTGTTCATCCAATATTCATAGTTTGTTTTATGTAGCTTGTAGCTTGTTTTCTATCCTGTAATCTCAGCAAGGAAGGCAGACAGTGACTGAAGGAGGATCAGTAACTAAATATATCTGAAGATGCCAACACCTTTGAGGAGCACCCCTGGAATGATACAATCTGTTGATCTCCAGTGTTCATTCACTCAGCGTCTTACTGCTGTTTCACAAGGGTTGCTGGATTGGTTTTCATCTCTTGGCTACATTTGGACCTGATAACTGCTCCTGCCTTTTGCTCTAGGATTTGCAGGCCTGTCCATCATCCTCCCTCATGTGCAACTCCTCCATAGAAGCAGAGTACCGGTTTGCCGGTGGAAGTGGCTTGTGGGTAGGGGTTGCATTCTAGAGCCAGCTGTGCAACAGTCTGAAAGGAAGGGCAAAACCAAGGGACATGTTAACTCAGAGCACTTGTAGAGTGCCCCTGCAGATCCCTTTTCAAGTGGCTCACAATAAAATATGCCTGTTTTGTACTAACCGCCCAAGTTCCAGTTTGCCAATAAAGCCATAGTGCAATCCTTGTTATAGTATATTGTGCAGGTGCTTTCCCATCTCCTGGTTGCCCCCCATGTAACCCATCTTCTCCCCTCTTGCTCTTCTTGCAGAGTTTGGGGTCTACTGCAGCCACTGCCGCAGCGAGGTGCGTGGCATTCAGTGTGCCATCTGCAAGGGCTTTGCGTTCCAGTGTGCCATCTGCCACGTGGCCGTGAGGGGCTCCTCCAACTTCTGTCTGACCTGTGGGCATGGAGGACACACCAGCCACATGATGGAATGGTTCCGCACCCAGGAAGTGTGTCCCACCGGCTGCGGGTGCCACTGCTTGCTGGAGAACACCTTCTGATGGAGCGTCCCCAGGGCCTGATTAACAGCGTGCCAAGTCCGTGATGGGGGTCACTCTCGGAAAGCAAATAGGTTCACCGCCCTGCCCCCCCAGGTCATTTCCGGGAGAGGTGATGGGTCAAGCTTGGTTGCTGGTAGAGTTGTTTGATCTCTAGCAGAAAGTCGGGCAAGTGGGCTGGTGGTCACTCCAGGGCTTCTTGCAAGCTCATCTTAGGACTTCCTGCCTCGGCAGAGTCTTCCTACAGGGCAAAGAAGTCATATGCAAAGGACAATCATCATAGGTCGGTAAGGTGAAATAGTTCCAGAACCACAAAGGGATCTCAGGTCTTGCGACTAGAGCTGGAGGAGTGGAGCATGAATGTTCTTGGGGTTCACTTGGTTGGAGACTTGGCAAAAAGCCTGCCACAGACTGGAAATCAAAGGGGCCACATTGTTTGGATAGCTCCCCCCCCCGAACAGCCATTCCTCAGCCTTGTAAAGTTCTTTACAAAGAGAAGGATCCAAACTCCCAGAGAGAGTTTCCTATGCAGAGAAAGACAACAGCCCTTTCGACAGTATGAGTTGGATTGAATTGCTCCTTGTGAGTGGGACGGTGTTGGAATAGGGTGTGAGAGCTGGACAGAAGTTCTCTGGGTGACGGATTCCCACTTCATTTGGGACTCAGCGGCAGCTTCATTTTGGGACATTGTTGAGCCAGAATGATTTGTTCCTCTTCCCCCTCCCCTCAAGGAAAAGAAGCAGCGGAGGGTTGTTCATCGTGGCCAGGTCTTGCTTGGACAAGCCTGTTACGCTCCCTCCAGGATTGCTGGAAAGAGTCAGCAGAGGTTTCAGTGAGAACAGATTGATTTTTTTTTAAAGCAGGTCTGCAAGGCATGTGAAGGAGCCCTAACACTTGGAGAGAGAGGGGCGTGCAGTTTTTGTTTTGAGGCTCCAATATCAGGATCTGTGATGCTGAATTGCATTCCAGCCCAGGAGAGTGGGTGAAGAGTTGCCTCTCCTCAAAGGAAACGCCCAAAGATCTTGGGGTGCAGTTGAGGGGGGGGGGGTCTGGGGGGAGGGCTCCCACTTTGGGATTATCCATTTGGTGCCTGGATCGTGGCCTGCAGAGCCCCTCTAGGCAGACACCACCTGCAGACACCCTGCAGACACCACCCGTGCCATTCTTGAAGCTTTGTGGGGTGAGGAAAAGGGTTGTACGTTTTCCTTTATTTAAAATGAATATTTTATAAAGTCCGTTTGCTCTTCCACTTCTGCTGGGGTGGTTTCTGTGTCGTGCTGTTCTCCATAGCTAAGCACTTGTACTTCTGCTGTTGCAATTCTGCTTAGAGGGCTGGACTAGGAGCTGGGAGACCTGGATTCAAATCTTAGGTCAGCCATGAGGCTCACTGGGTGACCTTGGAGCTGTCACTCTCTTAGCTTAATCTACCTCACTGTCTTGGGGTCAAAATAAAAGAAGGGGGAGAACATGTGGTCTTGAACGTCTTGGTAGAAGGGCCAGATTGAAAGTGTGATTAAGTAGAGGAAAAGTTCTGTCTGCTCTGATTGCAAAATTTCCATCATGCTAAGGGCAACTTAGTGAGACTGGTAGATACCTCTCTCACATAGAATCGTAGAATCATAGAGTTGGAAGGGACTTCCAGGGTCATCTAGTCCGACCCCCTGTACAATGCAGGAAATTCATGAATACCTCCCCCTCCACACCCCCAGTGGCCACTGTTCCACACCCAGAAAATGACAAAAAAACCCTCCAGGATCTCCAGCCAAACTGGTCTGGAGCAAAATTGCTTTCTGACCCCAAAGTGGCAGTCAGCATTTCCATGGGCATGTAAGAAAGGGCCACAAAAACTAAGCACTGAGGCAACCCTTCCTGCCCTCCTGATCTGCCTAAGTTCACAGAATCAGCACTGCTGACGGATGGCCATCTAGCCTCTGTTTGAAAACCTCCAAAGCAGGAGCGCCCACCACCTCCCGAGGAACTGCTCTAACTGTCAGGGTGTTCTTCCTAATGTTTAGCTGAAAACTCTTCTGATTTAATTTCAACCTGTTGGTTCTGGTCTGACCTTCTGGGGCAACTGAAAACAACTCCCTACCATCCTCTGTATGACAGCCCTTCAAGTACTTGAAGATGGTTATCATATCACCTCTCAGTCACCTCCTCTCCAGGCTAAACATACCCAGCTCCTTCAACCTTTCCTCAGGACTTGGTCTCCAGGCCCCTCACCATCTTCGTTGCCCTCCTCTGGACACGTTCCAGCTTGTCTATATCCTTCTTAAATTGTGGTGCCTAAAACAACACAATACTGTAGGTGAGGTCTAACCAGAACGCTCTTAGCCTATCATAGAGTTGCTCCAGGTTTTTGTGACTTCACACTAGCTCAGTCAATGGAAGTCTATTTTTTAGAAGTTAGCAAAGCTACTGTTTTTTGGGGAATCCATTTTTTGTATATTTTATTTGGTCACCTCAACAACCAAGATGAAATTCCAAGAATGACGTCCACACAGAATTTGCTATCGTATTGCAGACTTAGAACTCGTTTGGATTGTGGGTCAGTTTTATACTGAGTCTGAATGAATCTTGTCAAGGGCTGAATCTAGTGTGACCAGGTGGCTCTCTTGGCATATGTTCTCATCTGCGTCTTGGCTAGAGTTGTTCTGCCCACACCAGCCCAAAAGCTACTTCCTCTGCTCCATGGCAGCAGCATGAGAGGGCAGTCTGCGTGCTTCCCCACACTTCCAGGTGCCATTCAAAGGAGGCGAGGGGCATTTCTGCCACTGCACAGAGACAAGAAACAGCTCTTTCCCCTTCTTGGATAAGAACCGGCCGTACAAATCGGCTTGAAGAGGGAACAGAAATTCCTTGCTTTGTGGGGTTTGCTATATTTCTGGGCTGGGGTTGGAGTTAATCCTGTCCACACAAGGGGGCGGCAGTGCACCAGTGGCCGAGTCGCCGAGGTATGTACTGGACCTTAAGATTTGCTCCTGGGAGTGGAGAGCCCAAATCCTGGTCAGATCTGGGGAATGCTTTTGTGGTTTGCATTACAGAAATGTCAAATGGATGCTTCCTTGGTGCTGACAAGAGGGGTTTGCAAAGCCATGTGGGGCGAGGACATGGCTTTGTGTAGAGCACTATGCTTGCAGAAAATCGCTGGTTCAATCCCTTGCATCTCCAGTTTAAAGGATCACCTAATAGATGATGTCAAAGATTATGGAGAGCCGCTACTAGTTAGGATAGACAGTCCCAGAGGTCATTTCGGGGGTGATCGCACATGACGAAGCCCCGCCCCTTGCTTCCGGCCGCCCTGCTTCCGGCCCTCATTCAGCCAGGAGGAGGCAGGAGAAGAGGGAGGGTAAGTTGCTTCCTCCCTGCCTCTCCCCACCCCTGCCTGCCTGGGGCCAGGGAGGGCCTTCGCGGGACTTCCTTGCACTCCCGCCGGCCTTGCAGGTCCACCGCTGGGCCCCTCATGGGGCTCGGCAGTGGAGCTGCAAGGCCGGTGGCGGCAGCCGGGACCGTTGGGGGTGGGGTGTGTGGCCTTATGACACACTTCCGGTGATGTCAGGGGGTGTGGCATATGCTAATGAGTTCCCCTAGCTCTTTTTCAACGAAACAACCCCTGGGCAGTCCTGACCTTGATAGACCAAGGGTCTGACTTGGTATAAGGCTACTGCTGCTTTAAAGAGCTGTGGCTTAGTGGTAGAGCAACTGCTTTGCGTACAGGAGGCCCCGGGTTCAGTCCCCCGTCCCCGTCCCCCCCCGGTCCTGTGAAAAGCCTCGGGATGCAAAATACCTTTACCTGAGACCCTGGAGAGCCGCTGCCAGGCAGAGTAGACAAGACTGAACTTGACTCAGTACAAGGTAGCTGAAATAAGAGGGTTGTGGTTCAGTGACAGAACATCTGCTTTGCATGCAGAAATTTCCTGGTTCAGCCCCTGGCTTCGCCAGGACAAGGTAACAGAAGTTACGAAAGACCGCCTTCTGAGGCCCTGGAGAGCTGCTGCCAGGCAGAGTAAACACAATGGATCTTTACTCAGTATCAGGCCATTTAAACAAGAGGGCTATGGCTCCTTTCAGCCTCCAGTTCAAAGGCTCACGTAGCAGATGATGGGGGAAGACCTCCACCTGGGCTCCTCAAGAACTGCTCCCAGCCAGAGAGGAGACAGGACTGGGTCCAACTCAGTAGAAGACGGCGCTCCCTGTGCTTCATATGTGCTTTTCTGGGGGGGGGGTACCCATTTATTTTTTTAAACCCAACCCTGTAACCACGAGGTCACTCCTGAAAGGAGAAACAAAAACATGCCTTCCCTGCAGCCAACAGGCAGGGGTGTGAAGGGACTTCAGAACGTAGGCACTGGAGGGTTCTGCTAAGGCACTTGGCATGTTGGCCGAGTCTGCAGGGGAAGAGAGAGAGAGAGAAGAATGGGTTGGAGTGTCTCTGAAAGCCCTTTGTGGTGCATGGCTTTGAGCCCCTGGGCCCTCTGGACTCTCTATCGTGACTCAGTGCACAGGCTGATGGCCGCAGGGAAGGGTAAGGAGTAAAACGTGGAGCTGACATGGCTGAACTTTGAACCACCTAGTGAGCCAACCCCTTGACCCAGTGGAGAGTGGGAGTTTGTGCCATCGTTGGGATAGAAGATGCAGCCTGGGGAAACCCAGGTTTGAGTCCCCACTTCTCCATGAAGCTCGCCCTTTGGCCTTGGGTCAGTCAGTCTCTTCCCCCTAAGCTTAACCTTCCTCAGAGGGGTGGTGTGAGGACAAACTAAAGCCCGGAGAACCATGTGTGTGTCACCTGGGAGGAATGGGTGCAGTTTAGGCTGGGCATGGCTTGGGAGAGTCTCCTCTCTCCCGGTCCCTTGCCTGCCTGGCTGCATGCAGTGGTTCAGTTGCATGGGCAAAGCCTGCTCCGGGAGTGACTGAAAGGGAGGAGTTGGGAAGGGATCAACCCTGGAATCAGGCTGGGAGCCTTCAGCCAATCGATTGAGTCATTCCGAGGAAGGAGCCAAGCCAGCCTGAGCGGCAGTGCAGTTGGGCAATTTGAGGCGGTACAGACTGAACATTTGGCAAATAACGTCTGCCAGTTCCAAGAGTCGTGGAAGTTTGTGTGTGAGGTGTGGCCTCCAAACAGATTTGCACCCCAGCGCTTTTTTCTTTGTGAGTAGTGTCAGGATTTTTCCAGGATGGTTGTTGCCACCGATCCCTCTTTTCCCTTAGTCGCCGGTAGAGCCAGCGAGTGGTCACTGGGCAGTGAGCAGGAAACACTCAGCGTGTGCCAGAAGCGCTTTCCATTCTTGTGTGTTTACAGGAGCAAGGAAAATGGTTTGAACCAAGTATGGGAAATGCAGTGGTGTTTTCATACTGTCTCTGAGGGGAGGGGTTGTGGCCAATGGCAGAGCCTCTCCTTTCGAGGCAGAAGATCTCCGGTTCAACCACTGGCGTCTCCAGCTGAAAGGATCAGGGAGGAGGTGATGGGAAAGACCTCTGTGCTATGACCTCAATGGACAAGTGGCCCGATTCAGTATAAGGCAGCTTCATATGCAGTTAAACCCCTGTAAGGAAGGGTGCAGTCTTAAAACACACGTATGAGGGAGCTGAAGCTCCATGGAACTGGAAAAACCTACTTCTGAGCAAACATGCAACAAGCCAGGATTTTTTAAAGACCCAAGCCTCTATCTGTTAAAGCCTCCTTCACCGTTGTGCTGAATATGTTGCAGATTACTCCCCCCCCCTTTTCCGTTGTCTCTGCCTGTTCTTATCCAGCACAGTCCAAAACAGGGAAGCACCCATCAGTCCACCAAACCTACACGTGTCTGTTGAGAAATCCATCAAGTTCAGTAGGGTTTACTGCCAGGTAAATCTCCCAATTTTTCTTATGTTTTAGAAAGACGGGAATGAATTTCTCCCTGTCCCATGCACAAGACCCAATGAATAGACCAGAGGAAGCTTCCCCATCCCAGGCTTGAGTGAGAGGGGCCAACTGAAGTCTGCCTGAGTACACCTCGCAGCCTCTGACTTGGGACCCCTTGCTCTAGTCTAGGAGGTGAGGGCTGCT